TACTGATGGTTTATTAAACTGATACATCTTAACCTTCACCATTTTCCTGACTCATTTCACGATAACGTCAAAGTTGCACTGCATTTACATCTCAGTTGTAGTTAACATCAAGCATGTGGGTGTGGCTTAGTGTAAAACTTTCACTATTTACCATGAAACATCAACATTAAATGACTTCCAAATGCAAGATCACAGCTGCATCATCACACTTCCTCTGTCTTTCTAGAGAACAGCCCTGAACACATTTCCATGGTCACTTGATGACCTCACTGTAGCCCCGCCCACTTTTAAGAGGCAGTCACATGTTTTTTCTGCTGTATGTTTTACTGTTATTCTATAATTTATATGGGTTTCATCATGTGAATACTGACTAAAAACGATAACATGATGAACTCTATGAATGCTGGCTGCTGACCGAACCGCATTGGGGTGTAGAAATGACGAAATGCATTACTTCGCCACGTGCATATGATCGGCTCTAAATGACACGTGGATCATCGGACTGGCGCCAAATTGAAAACGTATGACCTTTGTTGACCTCTAAAGAGCAAAACAGCATTGAAATGTATTTTGACTCCACTGCGCCCCTACATTAATCCGCCAGCTGTATTTCCTCGCTAAACCAATGAATCTATACCACATTTTTTTGCATCTTGAAGGATAGCCGCCGAACGCATAGATGCGTACCGCCTGGTGGACGGCGCGGAAACTGCGCAACAACTTCTGTCTTAGCACGTGCGCAGCGTTGATGGAAACTGAGCAACAGCTTCCGCGGTGCGGGCGGAGGCGCTGAAAACTGCGTGAGAGCTTCTGTGGTGGCTGGCGTGAGGCGGCGGTTGCTCGTACCCCGCGGTGGCAATAGGCCGGAGCGGCGCTTGGCTGCGAGGGCCGTTCGAGGCTGCTTGCAGCTTTAATAAATCAATATATTTTCCCAGAAATCTCATTGATCTCGGAGATTATTTAATGCTTGTGCTTGAGAAAAGCACTCGAGAAAAGAAGGAAGAATGTCTGTTTACTTGGGATTTTTTCACTCGCAAGACGACACAGAGGAAGCGCGAACGCGGCAGGAACAGAGAAAATGTGACAAATGTGTTACAATCGCGGTTTAGATCCAAAACTTAAAAAGTACGAGCTATCCATTGTTTGAGCAAAATAAAAGCTTTACCAAAATGTCAGCTTTCTACTGTAAATGTATCAGTTTTGTTACATGACATGAAGCTCCAGTCCCTTCATAACCTGACTACAGGAGGCTGGCTGTGCAAGCCAACAGCCACATATTTACAGGAGGAGGAGGAAGGAGTGCGAGGACACAGTGGTGGCCAGAGTCGGCGCAGGTTACCACTAAAGGCTCTTCTATCAGCCTCCAATTAGGTCTAATTGGATTGCTCGTCACCCTATGAATTAGCTCACCTAATAAGGCGTCCTGCTGACAGACAACTGCATGCAAAAAATAATGAATAAATACGCCGTTTGAGGTGTGACGCTCTGTTGTTTCACACTTGGAGAAGCTCGACAGCAATAGCAATTAAGTGGTAGCGCGGGCATCAGAGAACGAGGAGAGAGAGAGAGAGATGGAGAAGAGGAGGGAATTATGAAAGCAACCAGACACAACTACAGGTAAAGGAATGTGATATTTGTTGCATATTTAACAAAGAACATTGGTGTAAAAGTAACACAGTTTTTTGTTTTTTTTAGACGGCGTTTTGAGTTAAGACAGAAAATGGCTTAGAACTCAAATGACCAAATTGACATGTGGTAGAGTTAGACATTGATGCGGATATAAGAGCTTCGCAATGGATGAATTCTGATATTTGAGTTATTTGGAGATTCCTTATGTTACTGAAACTGGGATAAGAATCATCCAAAGCCTTAGTAGAAACTGGAAGGAAAGTGGGGAACCTCCATCTATGGGAAATAAATGTGAAAGCAAGAGTTTTTCCACATGCACAAAGCAACGGGAACTCAAAGGTTTGGATCAACCTACCAAAGATTGGCTTCTGGGCCAATGAAGGAAGGTCATGTGGTCTGAGAAGTCCAAATTCACCATTATGTTCCAGAATGAAGAGTTTGACAGGATAAGAAGAAAGAAAGTCGAAGTGATGCTTCCATCATGTGCCAGAGAAGAATTTGAGGAATGGTCCGTCTCCTTCAGACTAGCCAGCAGCAATTGGCAAACACCTGGTGGAACTTTATTTTTACTGAGGTCATTATTGGAGCTACTTCTCAGTGCAATGCTGGTAAAAACATTGCTGAGGGGTTAATAGAGGAGCCATGTTGGGATGACTTCCTGAAGGCAGAGAGCAGGAATTTCTTAAAGAGACCAAAGCCCAATTTCAAGGGTAACATAGTTACTTGATTGTGTTATAAATTATTCTATATGGCTGGAGAATACATACTCCCCCTTTAAATTAAATTATGCAGCTCTATTGATTTGCGGTTTATTTTCTGTGTGACTAATGAACCAGAAGATGTTTGGCTGACGCTCATTCCTTCCTTGTTAGGTTTTTGTTTTTACACACATTTGTTATTTTGGCGCTCAGAAGTTAAATACCTCAAGCAGACGCAACAAGGTACCCAACCCAGCTGCCGCCTCGCCATTGACTCTGCGACGAGCAGCAGACGATCCGAACCGGGGGGCGGGGTGGAAAAGGCGGCTTCGTCTCTCACTTCCTAAACCCTGAAGATACAGAGCAGGATAAAAACCTGGACTGAAGAATTGATTGAACTCCCAGTTCCTTCTCAAGAAAACTCAGCGCTGCAGAAATTCAGAGAAAGAGAAACTAGTCACGCATTTAACAGCTATTGTCCACGGACACGGGAGCTTTTAATGCCCCCCGGAGCCCTCCGAGGACGTGCCGAGCAAGTAGCGCCTTTTAAATCAAATCAAATCTCCGTGCACCGTGGCAGCAAAAGCCTTGGCCTTCAATACAGAGGAAGACTGTCTTATCCTCGTAATTACATTGGGATACAGAGATTGCGTTGCCCCCGGGGCTAAAAGTCTCCCATCACCAGAACTTCTCGGCAGCTCCACATGGAGATGGATGTGGCTCGCGAGGAGGGCCGCAGTCACGCTGCGTTTGATCCCCGTACAGTAGGAAAGAAGGAGAAGGGGAGGAAAAAAAAAAAAAAAGAAAGAATCAAGCTCAGGCATGAAGTGCTGAATTCCTCTAAGCTTTCATCCCTTTTGAGATGGATGAACATGTGTACATAGCGCTGCTCACGAAGACACTTGCCACGACTTAATGAAAAGACTGATGTAAAAACACTGGAGCAGATCGGGGATTTCTGGCTCCAATAGATCTTGACTTGACATTTCTGCTTAACAAAAAACATTCTACTTTTTGTTTTGAAAAATAAAATGGCCAGAGAATTTTTGAGTCGAGATCTTAAAGAGGTATGCACTTTTTCATGCTTTTCAGCTAAAAATATAAATATATTTTTAAAACTGCAAACTTAACACAACAGACCTGTCCTGCATGCAGACTCAGGGTCTTATTGGTTGAGTTATCCTCGCAGAAATGGATCTATTCACAGTAGGTTGAAAGCATTTGCAATAGGTCCCAGTGTGTCCCATTTGACTCACTGGGAACTGTCCAGTTTAGGATTCGCCAAAACACACGACAGGGTAATATGTGACTATTTAATTTTTAAAACTATATTTCAGTTTAAATTTTCTGTCATATCATTTTTCAATAAATTCCACCTTACTGTCCAAGTTTTCTTTAAAAGAGCAGTACTACGTATTTTCCAGGAAAGTAGTGCCGATTTTATATTACGGTCCTTTTTTCAGTCAGCGTTTCACAGAGGAAGACATTTGGTAGCGCACCACTTCCAAAATCCATTTCCTGAATAAATGAGCACAAGTTCTTCTGTAAGTAACTGGCTAGAGCCAACAATGGCAATGGTTAAAAGTGAAATTTTCATAAACTGCTCAGATGTTTTTAAAATCGGATCTGTTTGGAGTTGGTAAAAGTTCATATAAATGTAACACACACTGCTATCAGGAGGTTTCTTTCATTTTGCATTCGTGTTTCCACATGTGTGCCACTGATTGTTGCAGGTGTAGATATCTGTGTCTGTGCGTGTCTGTAAATGCTCAGGTTTGTCCTGAATATTGAAAGAGATTTGAAGATTTCAGAACTAATGAGGGGGGAAAAAACATCAATTCATCAGGTTTAAGATCTTTACTATAGCTAAGCACTGACATTTTGATTTCCCTTTACAGGGAATGTAAGTTGTTCAGGGCCTACAGGACAGAGGGCACTAATGAAATGCTTTAAGTTTTGTGTTTTCCTTGTTAATAGTCACGGACAGGCAAATGACTGCTGATGAAACGAGATTTCACTCCCAGAGCAGAAAAAAATAGTATCTGGAAATTACATCTGGACTTTAACTAGACTAATCAAACACAAATGTATACTAATGATTTAAATCATCCAGGTTGATCTCTGTTGGGACCAGATTTCAAATTAGCTGACTTCTGAAGGTAGTTGCTTAAACTGGATTTTAGTTTGGGGTAATAAAACTAATTGCTCAGACATCCAGCCCGAATAAGCACTAGTTTGTGTTTGTCTATTATATATCATCCCAACAAATTTTAAGTCCCTGTGCCGGTTGAATAGAGCAAAAGAATCCCCTTCTTCCCTTCATTTTCTTTGTAAAGTTCATCATTTCCAGCTTGACTATTGGGATAATAAAAGTGAAAAATACCCCAGCGTAGGTTTGACATCTCTTTAGGAGTCATTGTAAACGGAACTGGCTTTTTGCTATTCAGCCAGAGTTAATGTTCGCCAACGTGTGGAGGCCACAGGTTATGGGAACCCAGGCTGTGGTCAAACCCTGGAACGGCGGACAAACAAGAGGACGCAGGAAACAAATGAAATCCGACCCCGGCCCATTTTACTCTGCAGGGCCTGGAGAGACAACGCCACAAGGACAGGAACACACGATACGCTCTCACTCTGTTGTCTTTCCCTTTTCACGTCAAAAGTTCAAATTACCTCCACTTCCTGCGTGACCCCGCCGCGAAGTGTTGCTGCTCCGGCATGACGTAACCCAAACAACCGTTGCGTCCTTTTGTGTATCTTTAAACTTCCTGAAGAGAAGCCGTTCTATACGTCCCCACTTCGGTCATGCCTCACTTTCCCCAAAATAAACACCCAAAGGCAGAGGAGTCAAAACGTGGCAGAGCTGAAGAGCATTTAATATTTCGCTCTTTTATGCAAAAACTACAGCTTCTGTCAGTTCGGCGGCTCTGCCTGCTCCGGATCCCCTGCCTCGTTGTCAGATTAGGGAGTGAGTCGTTCATGAATATACAGCTGCTTACCCGCAATTTCTAACATTAGTCCCTGTTTGGCTTAGAGCCAGTACAGTAAGGGCAAGTAGAGTAAATACAGACAGGCCTTGCAGATGCTAATGCACTTAGCCCTAGCGGTAAACAAAATGAGATTAGCGGGGAGGGAAGGCAAACTCTGAATTTGATTTACTCAGGCTTAGCGTAAACAGCTTGTCAGACTTCTGCTCGGCTGCTGTGAAAAGGCGGCACAGTGTGTATTGGACTAACAGGCGCAGTAAGTGTTTCTTGATTTTCATGGAATTACCAAGGCGACTGTTACAGCAGCTGGAAGTTGGTGCGAAAGCTTTTTGTTCCCCCCGAAATTTATTTTCTTTTCCCATCTCTTGTTGTCTGACAGGAATGGTTTAGAATTTTTAAATAGGGTTCTGTTGAAAGGTTAAAAGTGATTAATACCTAAAACTCCCGGGGTGTCTTCATTTGGCATAAATCCAGATTAGTTGCTGGTACCACACAGGAACAGAATTTAGAATTAGAATTTCTAGGAGCCCAAAATTTCCCTTTTGTTATTAAATCAATGTTTTTTGAACTTGTTATTTAATTTGTTTCCTAAAAACACTTATTCAATCCAAAATCCTACCAAATAATTTTGGTGTAGTTTCCAGTCATGATATTTTAGTATACTTGAAATAAGACAAAACTTGCTTATAAGTACATTTTCAGCAAGATATAAGAGTTTGTTTTAAGTCAATTTCTTAATACTGATTAAAGATTCTAATCGCATTGACAGATAACTTCACTGATAACAAGACATTTTTTTCCAAAAGTTAAATAATCTGCCATTGGAACAAGTAGGTTTTCATCAGAATTAGAGATTTGTTAACTTAAAAAAAGTTGCTGTATCTTGCTGAAAAGTTACCTATAAGTTACATTTGCCTTATTTCAAGTGTATTAAGAAATTTGGACAAGAAACTAGAGACAAAAACGTAATAAAAGTTTGTGTTTTTGCAGTGATGAAGATGATTGTTCAACAAAGGATGTTTTAGGAAAGGAAGAACAGATCGGTTGAGGTGGGCCGGGTATCTGGCTCGGTACCAGAATAAGCATAAGACAATGGATGGGTGGAAGAACATCACAGATACCCATTAGCATCCTCTTCAAGAGACGGTAGTACAGCAACAGAGTGTTTTCAGTCAGACAGCAAAGCAACTATTTGAAAATTATAACAATGGGAATTTTTAGATTTCTCAAAGTTTTTCATTTGTAGTCGAAAAATACCACACCTTTAGAAAGACCAAAAACAAAATCAGACTGGAAAAAAAAAAACAGGCCTAAAAGCCCCGAAGCTACGAAATGGCGAAGCTAATGGCTAGCTATCACTTCAAGCAGACTTTTAGTATAATAAAGCAGCACCACAAACAAACGTCTCAGAGAAATTAAAGTTCATCAACTTTGAGACAATCTGCAGATTTTCAGTATTAATATAGAACATGATCATTATTTATTCACAATAAAATAAAGGTTGGAGGTGGCGCACCACCAGTAATCGTCCCTCATGAAACAAGGAATAGCAATAGGATTCTTGCTCAAAAAGTTTAAAATTAAGTAAAATTTAATTTTACTTAAATTAAATTTCAGTTAAACTGATGAAACAATATAAATTTTTTATTTTTTTTTTACTCCATGGGACGCCCACACGAGTCACCATTACTTTAAGCACTTTCTCAGCATGTGTTTCACGGAGGAAGATTTTTGATGGTGCACAACCTCCACCTTCCGCATCCTGTAAACAATCATTTTATACTTTGCATATACCCTCCCAGCGCCAATGTGATCACGACCCAAAGGTCCATTTTACATTACTTGTATTCACTCCTTTGACACTTTGAGATTGGAGCGCTTTATCCCATTTGAAATCCTGAACTGTTACTTTAAGACGTGAATTAAACACAGTTTGTTTTGGTAAGACTTCCCTCTGAATTCAGTTAAACTAAAACATGCGAGTTTGGTTGAAACAGGAAGCTGAGGAGGAAGACACACTAATGTGTCCATATGAATCTGGAAAATTATGCAATCTGGAGCTAACGAGCGGACGCCATTCCTTATGGGAATAAAACCGGCAGGCAAATCAGAAGGAGCCGACTTGCTGCTCTTAAGTGATAAATAGGATTTTCTTAGAATTTTCTGTTGTTGTTGTTGCATCTTATTTTCCCTCTATAGCCATTATTGTGGTTGTTGGTGGTTGTGATAACCACACCGGTCGCATTTTTGTAATCGCCAACAATAAAGTTTCCAACGTGTTTCCATGAAAAGACTGGCTAATTGCACAGCAATAATTCAGCGATTAATTTTAATGACCAGGCGAGTTCATTTATCCGCCGTCTGGGTTGCCAGGTTGCCTCACAATGTGGATTAAACAGGGTTGGAAGATAAAACTTGCACTGGGGGCAGAGAGACTGGGGGAAGGGGTAGGGAGATAGATACTGTTGGGATTCTCTTTACTCTTCCTTCCTCCACCTTTCCCAGATGGCAGGAAGGTCTTGCAAGACTCCTGAATCGACAATTTGGAGGAGCGTTTGGGGCCGTCATGGTGGAGAGGGACGAGACGGAGAAAGGACAGCAGGGAAGCTGTAGGAGGCAGGGACAGTCTCAGGATACACTTGATGTCCCTGTGAGCAGCCGGTTGGGATATTCTCATTAAAAAGGCGTTTCTGCTGAAGTTTGTGCACGAAAAAGTGGCCGTCAGTGAGTCCGACTTGGTCCTGGTTGGGGAAATGGAGATGTAAATTTGACCCTGTAGGCAGAAATTCACTTTTGATTCTGCATTAATCCGGAGAATGATGCAGTTTGTTAAAAAAAAAAAAAAAAAGATAGAGCGAAAAAAAAGTGGAAGGTGTCGTTGCAAGTTGAACAGATCTACCTTCAGGTCTCGGTTGGAGGGAGATGAAGGCATCGCCGACCACTCCTCACAAAAGGAGCATTTCCTCCGGTCCTAATGGCCTCTGAGCTGCAGCTTTTGTCCCCTGATTAGCCGCCCCATTCAGGACTCAGCCCTCTAATTGCGTAGCCTGTTTAGCTACCCGGCATTACAGTAAGAATTAATGAGACACAATTATTGCACCCAGGAAAAAAAAAGGGGGGTGGAGGGAAATAGAATCTCTCGTCCCGGTGACCGCTCTGATCGGCGGAGAGACCTTGCTGAGTAAAACCTCCTTAAGCCTCCTGTCAAAAAAGAGAGAAAGAAAAAAGTGGAACACAACTCCCCAACCCCCCACTTCTTCTCAGGAGAGAGAGAGAGACAGAAAAAAATACATGTATTTATTCGAAGCTAGCTCATAATTAGGCCCTAGAGTGAATGAATGAGCAGGAGAGGATGAAGGAGAAGGAGAGCGGTGTGGGGGTGGCGGAGAAAGCAGCATTCAATAGCGAAAAGGCTGACTGATACAAAAGGCAGAAGAATGACGGGCACAAGAGTGAGACCTGCTCAGAGGAACGAGGAAGGGGAGGAGGAGGGAGACGGAAATGATGGACGAGGCAGGCAGGGGGGAGGAGAACGTGAGTGAGTTTGGCTGCGGATAAGATTTCCTCATTGGGCAGCTGAGGCTAAGCTAAGCAGCTGAAACACGGAGTTCCTTTAGATGGAGACTAAAATCCCACCTGCTTAGAGCTGCTTTAGAACCATAATAAATGGAACTTTGACCAACATGTTTGATACGATGTTTCTGATGATTTCACTCGACAAAGTGCAATGTTTACTGGTTTCTCAATTGGTGACTGTGTCATGTTTATGACTTTGTATTTTTGTGTTTTTATTATGTAAAACTCTTTGAACTGGACTGTTGCTAAAGTGTTCTATACAAATAAACTTGATTGATTGATTGATTGATTGATTGATTGATTGATTGATTGATTGATTGATTGATTGATTGATTGATTGATTGATGCTACGGGTTAACAGGGACCTCTTCCCCTTCTTCAAATCTATTAAAACTGGTGTCAGACATTTGTACTGCAAACATTTCTGCTTGTGCCGCTATGATTTTAAGAAATATAAAGAAATGTTTCCACAGGTCATGAAAGGTCAACCAACCCCTGACCCTCATGCCAAACAAATTTGGTGTCAATCAGCTATGGCGGACGATAGTGCGGATTAAGTTGTCAATGCTTAATGCTCTGGTTGGACAACAGGCTTCAAATCCACCATTACCATCCATGTTTACTTTCTCGAACGCTGAGCACGCTCACTACGTGTGATGTGACTGCGTCCTCTGCTGCATATGTGGGACTCCTTTAGGTCGTTTGCAGTTCACAGGGGAGATCACAAAAAAGTTTCTTAAATTTGTAAATGTAAACAACCAAATAAAACACCAGCTTTCACAAAAACATGAGATTTGTGTATTAAGTTGTTACTTTATTGGCGCCGCTACTACTTTGGAAAGGGACATAATTATTGCATCATTTTCCGTTATGACACAATTGGTTGTCATGTGGTATTTGGACATGTTTATTTGCTGAGGTAATATTAATTTATTGGAGCAACAGATTTATTTTTCTTTCAAATTAGCTTGCAACTATGACTAAAGCTAGAAATTAGTTCACAAAGAACCAGAAACCAATTGGACTTTTTGCATCTCAAAACCAGTTCCAACTTCGCAAAAGAACAATTCTGAAAAACATCATAGTGATTTATGTTAGCCATACGTTATGAACCTTCAGGTTGTCATGACATTAGCATAGGCTGGTTATATCCAGGGAGGATGATGATGATTCACGCAGGAAGTGAAGATAAGAGGTGTCTTTGTTTCCTGCATAAATAACTGAATTCTGTTAAATGAAAAGGGTTTTTATAGTGACAATAAGGCATTAACTGCTCAACAGAGGCTCATTTAAACAATCTCTCACTATCGTTTTCACGAACAGGTTGTCTAAAAAAAAAAAACACAAGCAAAACTGACATGGTCCACA